CTCGCTTGCTGCAGAGCCTCATACAGCAGCGCCTGCACAGCACCGCATATTATATAAGCCGTTCGCCCGGTATCTGTGGAGCAGGGGAAGAAAGCGGTAACAGCAGCAGCAGCAGCAGCAGCAGCAGCAGCAGCAGCAACAGCAGTAGCAACAGCAGCAGCAACAGCAGCAGCAGCAGCAACTGCAGCAGCAGCAAACGCCGGGTATCGAACCTGCGCGGGCGCAGCGGCGGCTCCTTGCTGCTCGCCTGTAGCTAAGAAGAGGAAACGAGGAGTGTTGTTTACTGCCTCGTGCTGCTGCAGCTACCCCCAAGAGCAGCAGCAACAGCAGCAGCAGCAGCAGCAGCAGCAGCAGCAGCAGCAGCAGCAGCAGCAATTCTGAGACATAACGGCAAACGGACGGCGCCCGAGCGCCGCTGCTGCGGCGGAGTAAACCCGGGGGTAGTGTTGCGGCGCCCGTGAGGGTTATTTCCTGTGTTAATTTGTATAAAAAGGAAAATAAATATTTAAATAAATAAAATTAATTTAAATAAATATAATTATAATATACTAACAACCCCACAACAGCAGCGAGAGAGCAGAGAGGGGCCCCTGGCTGCTGCTGCTGTGCGCTGCTGCAGCCTCCGAGCGAAGCCATATACAGCAGCATGAAATGCTGGGGTGTATAGGCAGCTCGGGTGTATATTTATTATTTTTTTCTTTTCTTTTATCGCCGTGTGTCGTCACGGCCGGCCGGAGGTGTGCAGAGAACTAACGGCTTCTCTGTCTAGCAGAAGCAGCAGCAGCAGCAGCAGCAGCAGCAGCAGCAGCAGCAGCAGCAGCAATAGCAGCAACATAGAAATTCTCTTAGAAGGACCCCATAGATCTTCAAACTTCTCACCCCTCCTATCTCCGCCCTGCAGCCCTGGTAGACGGCCTTGCTGCAGCAAATAAGGAAACGCCCAGAGCAGCAGCAGCAGCAGCAGCAGCAGCAGCAGCAGAAGGAGGAGAAGTTGAAGCAGCAGCAGCAGCAGCAGCAGGAGTGGCGGTCGTTTGGCTCAGTAGATTGTGCTCGTTTTGCGGACGTAGGGCGTTGGCTGTCGTTACCATCAGCAGCAGCAGCAACAGCAACAGCAGCAGCAGCAGCAGCAGCAGAAGGAAGGTCCGCAGCAGCAGCGCTACAGCAGCAGCAGCAGCTGCTGCAGCAGCGGCTGCTGCATGCGCTGCTCTCTAAGATGTGCCTTGCCGCGTCTATATCGGGGCGGCAGGGCAGCGGCACCCAACGATGCCAGCAACAGCAGCAGAGCAGCAGCTGAAGGGGGACATGTCAACACTTGCTGCTGCTGCTGCTGCTGCTGCTGCTGCTGCTGCTGAGGCTGAAACACGCTGCAAGAATGGACAGCTTTATCCGCTGCAGCACGCAGCAGCTGCTGCTGCTCCTAAAGGGGCACCACACCCACA